TTGAAGGAGACTCTCTATTGGTCATCTCTTGGGCCAAAAACATCACATCAGCACCTTGGAAGCTCAAGTTTATTTTCAGAGAAATTGACACACTTGCAAGGAAGTTCAACTCTCAGTTTGGTTGGGTTAAAAGGGATGCAAATGGGATGGCGGATACCCTAGCAAAACAAGGGGCAAAGAGATCTTCATTGTATTGGGCAGAATTGTAACTGATTGCTGGAGATTGCAAATTCCTATGCAATCTTTAGCTATTGTATCTTTATCTCTCTGTTATTAATGAAAGATTTTTACTGATCAAAAAAAAGAGGATGACCTTGCACCTTCCAATCATCTGTCTCTAGGCTCTAACCTTTTAACTTTTTATTTACAGAATACTAGTGGTAACACTGACCTTCAGCCAAAAAAATGCGAAACAGAAAGAAAAGAGAAAAGATAAGGTAATTTGTAGTTTATTATATTGAGTACCTATGACCAAAAGTAATGACAACAAAGAAACATCACAACCATATTTACTAAATTCAACATTCTATTCAATTTATACAATTGCAATTTGCAAATATTTTTCTAAATCTAACTTAAAATTGACTACCTTGAGTCCAAAATTTTCTAATCCTTTTCTCTGATAATAGATTTTATAGGAAATTAGGTAAATATAGCTGAAATAGCATAACCTCTAAAATCCATGTGGTATCAAACAGTACAAAATACCAAGGGAAATAACAAACATAAAAGTCTACAATTACCTTTAATTTTAATACTCATCCAGTGACATAAATTTTTAAATTGAGCACCAGAAGGTACTTTATAAAATTTGCCTCAATGGATTGGATCAATGAAAACCACTTTAGTAAACAAAAACCTTTAAAAAAGTTTACTAGAAGTTGAAATTGTATACTTTACTGTTCCACTAGAAGGCCTAAGTGAGGATTGCAAAGCACGCCTTGAGTTCTGAATCCAGGGATGCATAAGTAGCGTCTTTGCATCTGGTCTCTGCCTAGCATCCTGAAATATGCTTCTCAAAGTGAAAATAAGTAATTAAAATGGCTGTAAGCTATAAAACATCGGCCATTGTAGTTGAAATAACCTAGTATAAAACTCAATCATGTGCCTTTTGTGAACTTTCATAAGCATATCACTGTTACAATACAATGTTAACCTCATGTTCTTTGTGCAGACATGAATCTTTTTCTTTTACATAATTATGATAAAAGAAACTTCGCTAATGAAAAGAAAAATTATATCATGAAATTACACTGAAGTAGGTGATGAGAGATATCAATCATACTGATGAGAAAAACATGCAAAAGAATGACCTAAACTTCAACATCTATAATATCAAATAACAACCAAAAACCAGATCCAAAAGAAACTGAATTACAACTACATATTCCAGATGCACCATTAACCAATCAAAAAGACCATACTTTCATTCTTGTTTCATATACTTAATACTTTTTTTCATACTTTTTGAAAGTATGTAAAACACCAAAAGCACAAAGTCAGCTTTTCATACTTCGTGCTTTTGGCAAAATAGTGCTTCCATTTTGTGCAAACAGCGGATCACATGTGACCACCCTTCGGTAAAACTCTCAACCCTACCTCTGCTCACCGCTGCTGGAGTTGGATCGTCGTCACCAGTATCAGACCACCAAACCACCAGAAACCGTCACCAGAAGCTCTTGCCAGATGTCGCCACTGCTATTCTCCACTGGGATCACCATTAACAGCAGGAAAGTTGCAGGTACAGATTACCTATGTCCTCTTTTCCCATTTTCAATTGTTTTTTCCATTTGTTCCATTATTCCACTGCTTCTCTCCACCGGAATCACCAATTCACCATCATTGGCTGGAAATTTGTGTATGGAATGTTGGACTGCTATTTCATATTTGTTCTGTTGTTTCACTATTTCTCTCCACTAGAATCACCATTATTGGCCAGAAATTTGTGTATGGAATGTTGGACTGCTATTTTATGATTGTTTTGTTGTTTCACTATTTCTCTCCATCAGAATCGCCATAATGTGTGTTTGCTAGTGTGCGTTTGCCAAACAGAAAATGGTAGTTCTGTTTTTGAAAGCATACTTTTCAAAATTTTTTACCCAAACGGTTTTCAAAGCGAAAGTACCAAAGTAAAAGTATTTTGTGTACTTTGTACTTCGGTATTTTTAAAAGTACAAAAGTAGAACTCTATCCAAACAGGGACTAAGTTTATCAATATATGATTCACTAATATTACTTGCATGCCAGAGTAAAGAAAAAATTAACCCAGAAACTCAGAGTTACAAGTCTTGATTAAGTTGACTCGGTGGAACCACATCTTAAGAAAAATAGCATAGACAGGATGATATGAAATTGTGGATTGGTAGATTCTACCTCACCTTTTTAAAACATTGACGCAGAAAATCTGTAATGTCAGGAGATAGACGATCAGGAATTGGAGGATGCTCATCCTGAAAAAAGAAAAGCATAGAAAATTTAAATCTTTAATTTCAGATTCAGATATCAGGACAGTGCACTTTTCTTAACTGGTTTCATTAACTTCCTCCTATTTAACCATGTGGGTCATTTCTGGATAGAGAAGAGAAAAGCAAACTCAACAATCGCCAAGGCAATCAGGTAACAGAAACAGAAAAACATCAGAAAAAAAATTCCACAAGATTGACTAGAGGGCCACCGGCCACTATGGTGATTGAGACAGAAAACATTTCACCCTGATATAATAAGACAATGTATGATGATAAGAAAACACTTCACCCCAATATAATAAAACAACAGACAATGATGATAAGAATGGGTTGATAATATAACCTGAACAATCCGGAATAAAGCTGGCATAGGCTGGAGATCATAGTAAGGCGGGACACAAGTAAGAAGTTCAATCACAGTGCAGCCAACACTCCAGATGTCTGATGCTGCACAGACTCCTGACATTTCTATTACCTGTACCAGATAATTTAGTCATGTGTTATTTTCTAAACCTGGATATAAAGAAATTTATTATTACTGTTTTACTTTTGTTTCCGGGAAAATGAAGATTAAAGTAAATTACTCCTCCCTGAACACAAAACTAAAGCAGATTGAATAGGGCTACAGGAAAGACCATGAGAGAAATTATGAAGAAAAGCTTTCCCCAGTGATCATGACTCATGAAGACAACAGTGTGAATTGCCATTGCACCATTTACTATTTGATTTACTAATTGATGAGATGTGTGGGATTTCTTGAGAAGCTGTTTTTTTTATCAGCAGAAAGAGAATTTTATTCAATTAAGAGAATTAGATACAGAAATACAGCAATTAGAAAACAGACATTGCACCAGAAATTGTTACCAAAAAGCCCAAAAGAGGTGTTGCCTTTGAACTCCCTGTTTGGCTAGAGAATCAGCCATTCCATTTGCAATTCTGCTGACCCATGTGAATGAGGCATTAAGTTCCCTTGCTATACTTACTATCTCCCTTAGCGGATGTCTATATATCCAAGGAACATTCCCGCTTGATTTGGTCCAAGATATCACTATTTTTGAGTCCCCTTCTATCTTCAAGTTCTTAAGATCTGCTAGCTTGGCAAGTTTTAACCCTTGTAGCAGAGCTAATAGTTCGGCTTTTAGAGAACCACCTTACACTAAAGGTCCTGAGTACATAGCCAATACTTTGCTTGAGGAACCCCTGAACAACCACCAATGCCTGCCATACCAGGGTTTCCTATAGAACTCCCATCAAAGTTCAGCTTAACCTTGGGACTCGAAGGCTTCCACTCCATCACCTTTCTTTCTTTATTCTCCACAGTGTGCCACTTCATTCCACGCTCTTAATATATCAGAAAGTGAGAAATTTTGAAAGATCTGGAGTGATTTCACCTAGTGTGCAACTTTTATCTTTATGGCCTCCACTAAATCTTCTTCTTTTTTAATGAATGATAATAAATTTATTAATTCAGAAGCAGATTTAGAGTGAGTTCATACAACATCCCAGGGAGAGGCGTGAGCTGCAGCCCCTCCTTGAATCTTACAAGTAAACTAGGAAAGAAAAKHAARAATCACAACTGAGCCCAAAACAATTCTTCCCTATTTACCCCTTGCTTAGCTAACACATCTGACAAAGTATTTGCTGATCTCCCCACCCACTGTACAGTGAT